AGAGTACGTCGATGTGTTTGGTGAACAGATCTAGCCATTTCCTTCTGCGAGAAACATTGGAGTTATTTTCGATGAACACATGCTATTAGATAAACATGTCACCTGTACCTGTAAGGACTACTTCTTCCACCTCAAGAACATTAGCAAGACAAGAGAATGTTTATCCGGCTAGCAGACACCGAAAAGTTAGTCATTACATTTAAGTTAGGTAATGCCAATTCGTTATTGTATAGTCTACCCAGATTTCTGATAGATCGCCTACAATTGTAAAATTTTGATTTTGATTTCCAATCGTAATCATTGTAAAGCGCCTTTGAGCTAAAGGAAATAGCGCTATAAAAATAAAGTATGACAGCCTATGAACCTTTCCTAGAAAAATAAATCTTGGCAATTGAAAAAACTGCTGCTTCAACAAATTCTTCCATCGCGACGTCAGAATACATATCAAAATATCTTTATGATAGAAGACAACATACCGTTATGAAGATCAGCAACCACTTGTGTCGATTAAGAATGAAGACATTTAAAGAACTGATTATGGGAGGTTTCAAAAAATGAACTATCGAGTTCTCTTCAGGAGCGCACATCACAACCCATCAAAACTAGACTCATCACAACAGCCAATCACAGCAAAGCAAAATATCACAAGGAGTCAACGAGTAATACAAATTAGAGAAGCCATGATCTTTTGCATTTCTTAAACTGGACGGCGTTAGCTTTACCGGTGATCTCATTACACTAAACATTAATTAAATTCCACCTTAATGCAACACTGACGGATGAAATTTTCACTCTTGGGGTGAAAATTTATCGAGCAGTACTGATTGTTCCTGAGTTAATTGGTCTTAATGCGATATATGTTCTGTGGGTGTGCGTTGCATGTTTTCCGCGCTATCCCGGCCTCTTTCTTATGTAAAAATCCTCATGAAATTCAGTGACTTTACATAATTGTCATTTTAATTCAGTCTACTTCAGGTCAGACTTCCAATTGCACAAACCGCCGCACGTATTTTTAGAAACTACTAAAAAAACAAATGATGGTTCTGAACATCCTGTTTCGTGACATTAACCTTCCGATGGGTCAGTATTGCCGCGTTTAATTTTAGTAGCTTTTTTCCAGACTCTGGATAACCTTCTCACTTTCAACCAGAATGGCTCTTAGTAAAGGTCTCAAGATGAACACACTGTTAAAAATTTGCACACGAAAGTACGGATTTACTGTTATTCGACGGGACTATGGACCAGAAGCGGTGGAGAAACTCCGAGGATCGTTAATCTGTAATGTAAATGTAAATGTAATCTGGTGCGAGACAGGTAAACCTAACTTGGACGAAGCGCACATGTTTGCCGATGGAATCCACTCCATGTTTCCAGGAAAGCCGCTCGTATACAACTGCTCGCTTTCCTTCAACTGGAAAGCCAACCTCAGCGATAAAGAGATTGGTGAGTTTCAGAAAGAACTTGGTAAAATGGGCTACAGACATCAGTTTATTACCTAAGCTGGCTTCCACTCGCTTAATCACGCTATTTTCAAGTTAGCACGTGACGTATGTCTGCCAACACCAAGATTCAAGAGGACGAGTTTGCGCAAGCGCAATCGGGCTTTACTGCACATAAACACCAGAGGGAGGTAGGGACAGGATATTTTGACCAGGTAAGTATGGCGGTCAGCGGAGGTAAAAGTTCAACGACAGCTTTGGAAGGATCAACTGAAACGGAACAATTTTGTAACCACGACTTGGACTCAGAAAGGATCAGTGCTAATTAATAAGAAACAAAATTTTGTACGATAAAAGAAAAATTATTTTACACTTTTTTAAAAATAAATTAAGAATTAACTCGTCGACAAATACATTCACCGACGGAAAAATAACTGTAATAGTTTGGCTCAGTTATTTATCAAGAGGCTTATTGACTATTTAGTTGTAGTGCAGAATGATGTCCATCTTCCTTTTACAGCGATTTTCAACGAGACTCTGTTACAGCCTTTCAGTATTATGTTAATTTATGCACGAATTGTGTATTTCTTGTCGCTACAGATGTGAAAGTTTGAGGACAATTTCTTACTATTACGGACATGCTTAATCTAATGAGATGCGTGCTATTGAAAAACTCTAACTCTTTAAAATGACCTGTGTCATACAGTCAGTGCCACGTTAGACGGAGGCATGCAATTATGCTATCGTTGGACGTTGGGTCAGCATACGCTGAGTTGCAATAGTGCGCATGCTCCTTACTGTATTTACATGTTATGTGCACTGTATTTGCTATGATCGCTTATTAACAACATGCATTAAAACTGACAGATATCAGTATCCCTCTGTAAACATAATTAAAAGATGATACTATTTCTTTAGTACAGAGCAATTGAAGAATACACTTGTTCTGGGCTGAAAAAGATGATCAGAGCGCATCTCGTTTCCTTATCTGCAAACTTTTCGAAAAGCGTAAACCCCTTCAGGAAATTGATATTTTTTTTCCCGCTGCCTGTTGAAGGAGAAATGTATTTTTTTTAAAAGTATGCGTCGCCTCAGGACTTCATACAAAGAGAGCAACACATTGTGCAAATTCTCTTCATTTCAAAATGCATCTAATGCAGACCAGAGTAACAATTATCAGCGATCAATAAATGTCTTTACAGTCAATGGAAGGGAAAATCTGATGAGGAAAAAAAGGGGGAAGGGCCCTCAGGAGAGGTGCCAGTGCCTGTGTACCCACGCCCTCCTCCCACTCCTTTTTGGTGTATGGAAAAAGGATGATTTGTAATAATTCGTCACTGAAATGCTACTTGATATAAATAAGACACTTAAGTGGCCATCACAAGCCCTCACGGATTAATAGACATGGACGAGAATACAGAGTTTGATCAGTTGACGCCTCGAAGCCAGTTTAGTTTAGCTTTGTGCATGAGATTTAGTTTCTCAGGAACACGTCAGAGAACTCTTCTGGGAGCGAAAAAAGAAAAAAAACGATTAAAAGCTTTATACACGTCAAATGTATGCAAGAATATAAATGACATCAACCATCAACCAAATTCTTACAACCAAACAATATAAATTCATAATAAATAAATAAATGCAACTTCCTATTTTCAACGTCAATTAGATGAGATTAGGATAAGAACAATACACTCTTTAAAAATAGAAATAAGATTAAAATTTTAAAACTATATAAAACCCTTAAATGTTTGTTTTTCTCGATTCCAGCGATCAGCAATTTAAGAAATAAAAATCTTCTATATGTCGTATTTTCCACGACTAATTATTATAATAGTAATTTATGCGCCTTTTGACCGTTAAATTTTTAACTTGCTCTTGTCTCTAAAAACAAATTATTAGCATATTAGCATTGGATTCGTTCAAAAAAAGTTCCGAGTTGAATCGAAGATTTCTCTGAATACCGTTAGTATGTTTGACGCCAGTTCTTGAATAGAGGTACTCTTCATTCGTATTGGTCTCTTAGGAACTCATGGGCGCGGCTAGGCGAGGCGGGAGTGGAGCCTCCTTGGGTACCCTCCTGCTTTTTAAAAAGAAATAATTTATGTCGATAAAAATATTGTATTGTTCCTAAATTCCAATATGAAGTTCGCAGGGGACCCACCCATTGTTTAACTCTCGAGCCTCTTCCATACTCAGAGGATATAAGTGAAGAATTCATACGAAATTAGGAAAGATTAGGAACTGACCAGAAGAGACAAAAATTCTTTCGTTCCTAACCCATTCCTCACGGTGCAAGTCAAACGAAAATTTACGAATTACGAAAACGAGAATTTTCATGTAAGGCTAGTATTGGGGCAGTGCGGTGAAAGCTCACAGCATCTTTAACGAGTAGTTTTCAAAGTAGACTTTGGCCTACCACCTGTTGGAAATATTCTTTTAGAAATAAGTTTATAGCAAACGTAGTTATAACCAAGCTTGAAACCGAGGCTCGGGTGACAACGCACGCTGGTCCCCAGTCTCCTATAACTCTCCATCAGCAGGAAGCATATCTGCGATCATTTCCTCAAGAGTAAACTGACGCTGAGGTCGTGGAAACGCATCGATTTCTTTATCTTTTCTTCTCTTCTCCCGCGACGATGATGTCGATGACGACTTTCTCGTTTTGACATTGGAATTCTCGAATGGTTTCTCTCCCGGAATCTGTTTAGGACTTGTTAAGATTTCGGCGCTTCCGTGGGAGTTTGAGTTCGAGACGTTCTTGTTGATGTCATACACTGGTTGATCACGCGGAGAGTCATTTTCTTCATCAGGTGTGATAACGCAATGTTCAGTTTCTATTTCATCGTTTCCAGGAGAACCGTCCTAAAATAACAGTTTTGTAACAGATAGATTAATGCTTAAAACAAAGTTTTGTTTCATTGTAAATGCAAGCGCAATAATTGGTAGGGCTGATCTTTAAGAAATGGATGATTCCTCCCTCAATGTTCTAGGATTGCTCGAAAATATTTTGCTTGCTTTTTACTGTCACTTGCGGCAGCAAACAGCACGATCTACGATCCAGAATATCGAAAAACGCAAAATTATACACATCCTATCCTAAGCTGTCCCGTCTATGACTTCCTTTATTGCATAGAAGGTCTAAAGCAGTTTAGGGAAATCATAAACTGAGTAATTGAATTATCAACTATATAATTATTACCTTGATAAGCTCGTCGGGTGATGGAGACCTGACGCGAGGGGCCTGGTAATTACCCTTGTCCAACTGCACGCCGACCGTTGATTTGTCTAATTTGTGTTTACCAGCGCTGATGACGTAAGAAGTTTTGCCAACCGCTGCAAAATTCTTTTTTCCTCTGGGAGAATCATTTTTATTATTACCTCGTTTTTCGATACTACTTATGAGGGACTGGACGAGTGACCACCTTTTAGGAGACCCACTAGTGGAGTCTTCTTCATCTGGAGATCGGTCATTGCGTGACTTCTCGACATCAAAGAACATAGCTTTGTCCTGAGGTTGTAACAACGGTCCATCCACTTTGTCTGGAGGCTCTTCGTTGGTGTCTTTTGCAGATGCATCCTCAAAAATGCGCCTTTTCATTGTGGGAGTCACCGAGCCTTGTAGATTCAAATTGAACAGGCAATCTCTGAGTGACTGCTGAGAGTGTCCTGATTGCGAGTTCTCTGGCTCCATAGTGGTTTCCAAGGTATTCCGTTCCAGGTCTACCGAGTGAAATAATCTAGAAGCAGGACTGGTCCCAAATGAGAGGTCACTTGACGCTTCGGAGAGACCTGAGTACCGCTGACTCCTCAGATCGTAATCGATGTCGGTCAAGTCGCTTAAAAGGTCGCTGGTGACATCACTGTCAGTCTCGAAAGAACATTCCAACATTTCCCGCTTTCCATTCACAGAAAGATTTTCAAAAGGCCTTTCATCTGGCGAGGAGATATCTCTTGCAAGAGAACTTTCATCGATCGCCTTAAAATGTTCACTTGAATTATCATGTTGCCCATTTAGTTCACCATCATTAACAACAGGGGTGCTATCTTCAAATGCTGTATTACTCAACTGGTCGTCCTCAATTTCATCTTTTTCATTTCGCACACCTCCAAGTTCCCTTCCCTTTTTCTCCTCACGAGTTTTCGTGATCTTTTTTGTCGCCTTCCCGTTGTTATAATCTTTAATGGCTGGTTTACTTACAAGCTCCTTTCGAGGAGAAGGCGGCGTTGGCTGAAGTTTTCCTCTGTCTTTCACCTGCCCGCCTTTTGGATCTGCTTTAATGCCATTAGTTTGAAGGCCATTCTCGCGTGCCGTGGAAGGCTTTCTTTCCCTCGGTGTGGATGGCAAAGTCCTATGTGTACTTCCTGTTGATATTTTTCTAGTGGCCTGCTGATCTGGTTTGTGCTGGTGGCTGGGTATCTTCGATGTAATGGGCTTCCCTCTCCTCTCTTGTTTTTCTTCCGTTGACCTCTGCGCAGGCTTAGGTGAGCTAGGTGACCGAGCCTTTCCAACTGTTGCAACTGAAGATGACCGGCGCCTAGCACTAAGCTCCCTCTTTTGTGTTTCCTCTGTGTAAGGAAAGTAGCCATGTGAGTTATCTGGGAATCAGGTAACCTTTCTCTTACGTGACAATAATCATCGAGTGAAGAGGGGAACTTTTTAAGCAGGTTTTCATACCCCGCCTATACTTCAAAACTTTAACTTACCCCTATTATCAGCTCTTCCGGGTATGGCAGGGGACCCCCGTCTCTGCGTTTCCCTTGCTGGCTGTGAGCTGGCCATAGTTTTAGAGCGAGGTTCCATTACAGGTATCAAGGTGCGTGGTCTAGAGCCGAAGGAGGCGCTTCTAGATACTCCCACCCCAGCAGACCTCGGCCTTTGAGAGTCAACAGGGCCACTCTGGCTTAAGCGACTTCTAGCGCTAGGAGATTCACCTCGTGCCCTGGTTATGGATGATTTTCGGGGAGTGGTCGCAACGCTTTTTCTGCGAGATTGTTCAGGGGCATTTGCCCCCTTGGATGCGCTGTCACTTGCTGATACACTTTGCCTTCGTATGGATGACGAAGTCGGTTTATAATAAGAAGGACTAAGGTTTAATTCTTGCATGCTTTTGCTTTTTCTTGTCAGCCGCCCACGGGCCTGTGTATCGATGGTTCTGGGCGGTGTGTCACGTGATAATGTGTCTCGTCTTTGACGCGGCTGCAGCCTTGGAGAACTTGAAGGTGAAGGGCTTCTGGAGGGAGACCTGCTAGTAACTTGTCTCACAGGATCTCGTGGACTCTTTAGCTATAAACAAATCACGGCCTTGGTAAGTATCACAATGCTGTAACGGGTCATATTTTTTTAAAGATGCTGCCTTTGCCAATCAGGAGCTATAAAAATCACTAACTATCGATCTTCCATTATATAATAAGCTCAGTTATACACGCATTCTGATTGGTTCTCACTTATGATCTATTGGAGGACAGACGCATAGATGACGTCATCATTAAAACTTTTTTCCTTATATTTTAATTCTTTATTATCTAAAACAAAAATAATCCAAGTTGCCGTGCGTCTGTTCAATAATAGATCACAGAGGACGTCAAATGTGGTAAGAATATCAGTGACACACTCGGCTGCGCCTCGTGTGCCACTTTTTTGTTCTTACCACATTTTGACGTCATCTGTGATCTATTACTGAACAGACGCACGGCAACTTGGAATCTATTTGTTAATTTGAAGGGCTATCAGGGCCCTAATTTACCTTTGCCCAAAATTTAAGGAAGATTGTCGTTAAACAAAAGAAGTAATAACATAATATGATCACAAAATAATTAATATGATAACAAATATTATTGTTATTATTATTGAGTGTCAGATGTTCCTACGAAACCGAATAGAGAAGCTGTCAAAGAATAGCGGAGAACCCTATGCAGCAATGATCTCACGGATAAGGTGAAGTTTATCGTTTTAGGTTTTTAGATCAGTGCATGAATGCCAGAGGCTCTGGGTTCTTGAACACCATTTCGTAACGCAAATGAAGTCTTAGATGATATAGATTGAATGTTATCGTTGCAGGAGTTTTTCTGATTTAATTCCGCCTCCCTTTCTACCCAATGTGTATCGTGAATATTCAGAAAGGTTTTTTGGGGAACATTACCATAGGTCAAGTTACGTTTTCACAGTCTATGATGAGCTTTTGATCACTTTCAAGCGTTACATTTTAATATGGAACTGATTTTTAGCTTTAGCTTATGATCGCATCTTAACCTCGTAAGTCTGTTGGAAATATTATTTTACTGTGTTTTCAGTTATTTGTACCTGGATATGAAATATGCTTTTGGCATGTAAATTTTATATTTATCCTTTTCACTATCACCATCATTCACGAAATCGAGAATTTTCAAATAAAGTTAACTTTAACTTGAAAGTAGAAGTGAGGATTTTTTTCCCCACAATACCACGTGAACCAACAGGGAGACACTATCATAAAATGAAGCTATGGCTACTTTTCCGAGTCAACTACTTTCTAAAATAAAATCGTATCGTAAACTGCCGAAATTTTGTCCAAAAATTCCCCGATCTAGAGAATCGATGTAATATATATATCTATATATATATATTTTTTTTTGCGTTCAAACCGAGAAAGGACGTAAAAATTGACATGTTAGGGCTGAGAAATGAAATTATAAGAAAACTATACCCTTGTAAAAAAAAAAACGACCCTGCCAGGACTCGAACCTGGAATCCCCTGATTCGTAGTCAGATGCCTTATCCATTGGGCCACAGGGCCACCGCGCCCTTTAAAGTGTGTAATTGCTATATTTAAACCATTATGAATAAATTGCTACCCTTGCACAACCGACAGCGCCAAACATTTTTCCTAATAAAATGGTGTATCATTTGAGTGTTCAATAAAGAATGCCTCGAGTAGAATTTGTGGAGAAAACAGGTTATTTGAGTAAAATGTTTGTACAAGGCATTCTAGATTTTGTCATGATCGCGGTCCAAAACCTGTGGTGACCTGCACAGCTGTAATTCATTGCCGCGTCATTGAAAAATCTTTTCCAAAGCTCGGATGAATTGACGGGAATTAAGATTGCTTTGCTGTCTTAATTTTTTTTTTTCGTAATCACGGGAATTTTCGTGAACCGGCGTTTGAACCGCTAACGACTGCACCCACAAAGCGATAGTAAAATTTTTTCCTCTTCCACGAATAACAGAAATTAGATTAAGTTTAAAAAACCTGGTTTACTTTTCATCCCCACCAAAGAACAGAAAAGAAATAAGAAAAAAAGAAACGTCATAAGATAATTAAGGAAAAAGAACTCGTCCCCGGGTGGGCTTGAACCACCAACCTTTCGGTTAACAGCCGAACGCGCTAACCGATTGCGCCACGGAGACTCGCTTAGGCAAAGTAGTGGAATTTTAACTATATATTTCCTTTAAAAATAATTGAGCCTCAAGTTACCTTCAAAGTGCCTTTGAATTGATAATAATTTCCATATCTTCTTTTCTATGAAAATTTTCAGGGTCTAAAAACCTCACTGTTTTCTAGTATATGGTTTACCATTAAACAAAATAAATTTGATGTTCATATATTCATCACGATTTCAGGACACTCACTGAGTAAAAACAACACAAACAAATGTATTGCCAAACGTTGTCCGAAATTTGCCTATTTTTGTTTAGTACTCATTGTATAAAAATGAATAGATCTTTAAAGAGTTTAGGCTTTTAGTCTTTCCGCTCCGTTCTCTTTTAAGTGAGCTCCAATAACGATGATCAGGAACTTGTAATTATAATGCTGTACAACGAGCGAAACTTTACTGATGATTTTCGTGAACAAACCTGTGAAGAAGAGTTGTGAGGAGAACTCCATGACTGGGCGCGTCCGTGAGACACAGGCAGACCACATGAATCGTGGCTGTCTGAACTGGATAAACTCATAGAGCTTGGCGATCTGCCCATCACATCGCTTCCACTACGCGACCGAGGAGATTTAACGGAGTTTCTCCTCTGTCTCTCTATAGTTTGAGGGTAAAATAAAAGGGAAACAAGAAATTATTGGGGGAAATTGAACAGTTTATCGATTTTCCACACAGTTAGGACAGTTGATCCGACCCAGCGATGGGAAACAGATAAAGCATTGTGAACCGCGCGATTTGACAGAAATGATAGCCCGGTAAGCACCTTTCAAAAGGGAAGTTTTAAAAAATATCCTCCAAAAATTAAAATCAAAATTTCTTCAATATCGAATCACTGTGTCAGATAGATTCCTTGAAAGGAGAATCAGAGCGCTGCCGTATTTCCTGGAAATATTTCTTCCTTCTTAGTCTTTGAATGGAACCATTGGATCTTCGTCAATTATTCAAGTATCCAAAATGTCTCAGAGAATAGTCGCTTAATAAAAATAGTCAGGAAAATCCTGGTAGCAATCCGATAGATTTAATGATTCAGCAATATTATAACAATATTTTGATAGCAATATTTTCTTAATCACCCTACCTGTTATTTTACATGGATCGTGTTTCTCGAAATATCTCTCCAGAGTATCCCAACCCCCGCCAACTCGAACCATTACGTGCTTGCGCATGACCTGACAAGACATAAAATCGGAACGCTCGAGCTGCAGCTATCTTTCGGACCAATGATGTATTTTCTAAAAATCTTATTGTATCAGACACACACCAGAAACAGGAGTTGCATTCGATAACTTGAGAAATTCACGCAGGTCATGTTTTTCGATGAGGACGACTACACAATAAAAGGAAAAGCACAACTAAAACAGAAACACTTTAAAGCCCAAAAAATTCTTATTAGCAGTTTTTTAAATATCATGTTGTTGTGTGTAGAGATTTTTTTTTTCGCTTCCATGCCCAACTTAGAAGAACACGAAGGGCCTGGCCTAAGCAATAATTGTTAGTTCGCCCCTGCATGTGTTACATATATTTATATTTTAATACAGTCATATTCCAGCTCTTCCTTACCCTGACGAATATGAGTGACTTTGCCTCGCCAACTCTGTATTTTCCTTCCCCGACACGGAACACTGGGTACCGCACAGGGCATGTGCACTGCTCTAATACTTGGTAAACCTGTTCAGGGTAATCAGACCGAAAACCAGGATCAATTTTGTGCACATGAAGAGGCACTTTTCATGCGTCTTGTTATCAACTTAACTTGACTAAGAGGAGAAATTTTGCTGATATACTGCAGTGGCGGATCCAGAACTTGAGCTAAGGGAGGGTGCGGCTTTTCTTCCTTCGGCGATTCTTACCTTTTCACCCAAAATAAGGGGTAGGGGGGACCGGGTCCCCCCGGGCCCTTTCCCTAGATCCGCCACTGTACTGAACATCGCAAACTGAGCACGTATGGAAAACAAAATTCGTAACAAGGAAATATTCTCACACTCGGAAAATGATCGAAAATTTACATGCAAATGTGCAGTTTTACAATTAAAGATAATATATTTGCTTTGGACAGTGTCATCTCAGAAAAATGATGGTAAAATACTTAAAATTTGCCCCTTGAGAGATGCATTCTAAGGCAGACAAAAAAAAAACACCAACGAGACTAAGGTATAACAATTCAAATAACCAATTAAAGTTCCAAATAGATATTGAATTAAAATGAGGTATTGAATTCATGATTGATATCGCGTGAGTGATCGTTTGATTGATTCACAATAAGTTATGGTGAAGAATATAGACAACTAAACAAAATATTGGCATCTCGTCAAAGGCCCTTCAACCTCTCTTTCGTTTCTAAAAAACCAAGTCCAAAGTCTTGATTCAACTCCTTTCAATTTATCTTCTAGCAAAAGTTTAAAGAGGAATTTTAAAATGTTTCCTATCCTCCACACCTAGCTGATGTGCAAATATACCCTAATGCAGGTAAAAGATTAAACAAAGCAAGCTAAGACAATTCAGCATGACTAACAGATTGAGTGAGAGGAAATTGTCTGCCATTTAGAGTGACTGCCGCTAAAAGCTTAAATATAAAAGATGTGTTTGCTTATCGTGGCATAAAATGGATAATAACTGGCCGTTAACTAATTTGTATCGTGATATTCAAGAACTAAAGATAGCTTGAGTGTATAATCGATCGAGACTCTACGGCGTCTGGATGCAAACAATTATGTTTTCAATTAGCTTGAATATTCAAATACTCAGGATTATTTATCAAGTTTCGTTTCTTGCCTAATCCAAAAACTTTCTTTCGCGCACAGTGGTGCAACTCTATAGACAGAGGTACAAAATTCCACTCTGACACAAATTCATATTCTCACGCACAAAATGAGGATTCGTCACGTGACGTATGTGGTTAATACAGGGTGAACCTTACTACAATAGTTAAAGTTCAAGATTATTGTCATTTGAGAGACTTTACAAAACGGAAAGGCGCCTAATTTCTGTTTCGTCAAGGATACATTTTTGGAAAAACAACAATTTATGAAAATGAAACATTACAAATTTTGAAACACTGACGCATGACATGTTGTAAATATCCCTTTTCCTAAATAGGTATATTAAAACCAAAGAATGCAAGTTAATACGACTTCATTTTTCTTTGAGACTTTTCGTAAATATGTTCTCCTCCTTCTTTGTGATTACTGTTTGGCTGGTTAGAAAAAAAACAGGACTTCTGATCATGCATAATTTTTCGGAATAATCCTAATGTTTTCGGCACGCTAAAGAAAACACCCATGAGAGTTTGTAAAGTAAAACCAAAATACACCTGCAGTACCACTCAGTTAGCGTGTTACCCACGTCAGCAACAAGGCTCCCAAGCAACGATTCGAAATGAAAATTTACCACAAGAAAAAGTCTAATTTTTTCAACACGTTTCATTTTTGATTGAGACTGATTTGGTGGAGATTCTAGCTGAATTAACAGATTAAATTTCATATTCGCCCGTTAGAGTTCCAAAGCAACACATTTTTTGGGCATGTGTTATAAAAGGACCTAAAAACCGCATATGAAAAAGCTTAAGATTCACAGAAGATAAAGGCAATAACCAGTGTAAACAACAAGGGAGGCATATGTTAGTAATAAAGAGAGTCCGAAATCCTTGAAGAGCTTGTTTGCCTACGAAAGAAAACGTTTTTGAGTGGATAAATTATGAAAATGATTTGTCCACTCCAGGTTGCAAAGTCGATAGCGATTCATACCTGATTTTAGTCTAGTTATTTACGGAATTCAAATGACGGAGACGCACCCTCCGACCACCTAATTTAATTTGTGTTTAGAACTGGTGTTGAAAAACCTGTAAAGGGATCAATGGATTAGCACAAACGGATTTTAACGAACTTAAATGTCAACACCGATCGAGGAGGCGGATTATTTCGTTATACCAAACCAAGCATGAATTTTGTCCTTTAAATTCTGAAAATCAAGTTCCAAGCCGTTTTGCAGATGATCAAAAGTGTACAAATTATTCGTCATAAAGCTAAAAAATGTCCATTGAGAGGTGGCGATTGCCGAAATTATAAAGACATATGCAAGGTTGTATTATTGGGGATGTTTTAATGCATTAGAACTATCATGTGAAGTGGCAGAAAAAACATTGGATGTTTGGACCCGCAAACACGCCATGGAAACATAACATTAAAATCAAAATATGCAACCGAAGTTTACCTTCTTCTCCCATATCTTTTCCGCCTTAGAAAATTCACCGTACCTAAGAGGGTACTGCTCATGATTTCTTAGCATTCCGATCAGGCACAAGGAGCTAATATTACTCAGATTTCAGAAGCAAATTTAAATACGAGAACGTGACAGCAAAATGTAATCATCAATGTTTCCTATAAACTTTTGGATCTAATTCCACGTTTTCATCCAGCTTGAAAGCGTTAAAAATTCAATTCGAAAGGAACTTAATGGTGATGTTCCAAAAATATTTCAGTTCTGTTGAAAAAAGATTGAAATTAACGATAATGTTCCAAATTATGAAAGGTGGGCGATTAATTTCTTATAGAAAGTGCGAGAATGGTCAAACCTATTTACAGCATAAAATATGATTTATTTGCTCAATTTCAAATGAATTTCTTCGGTTCAGAGTTTTTCATTAGAAGCGTATAATTTTTCTAAGCCTAAAAATGCAACAAGGAGAAACTTTGTACATTTACGTCTCAGTGAATCAGTCGCGTGTTACCCCCTCGCTGTTGCTACGATATATTAAGAACCTGCGCACGTTCTCCATAATAAGCTTAAAACGACTCACAGCTACGATTTTCACCTTCACTGTTAAAAATCACAAGGACTTTGTCTTCCTTTTTGTGAGGATTAAACAGAAAAAGAACATGGTCTTAAAACTACAACCTACGGTAGCTACTTAACTTTCCTGTAGAAAAAAAAAGAAATTTGAAATGAAAAACACATGCAACGTTCAATAATGGTAAAATTAACATTCGGTCCTCATGCTAAACAGCTCCAAAGTAATTCAGTTTTTTATGACAAGATTACAGCATATTTAAATATGATCTGATGTAAACCTGTGCCCTTTCTATTTCGTCGATCACAACACACTTTATTACTTTCCTATTTCGGTAAAAATCGTTTGTTAACTTTTTCTTTCAGATGAATGATTCGAATCCCTTTGTAATGTAGTTACATACGTATTAATACAGGGAAAATTAAAACAATGTTATGGATTCTAAAAATATTACGACTAAGACCTTGGTAAACTATTGACTACTCTGCGTTGGTTTTTTTTTTTTTTGGCAATAGCTCGAGGTGATTCGATACACAGTTGAAGGAAAAATCAGAAACATCAATGGCTAGCGCGTGAAGTTACTCGTTTTGTAATGCAAACAAGGAGAGTAAGCAAAGCACAATATGACGATAATGAAAACTCTTTGAAATAAGAAAAATCAATCTGTCAGACGTGCCTAATTTGAATAATGGTAGTATAGCGAATTTTGTATAGTTTTTCGACTATGGGGGTATATTATTTCATACTGCGATTTTTTGTCGTTATGTGTATATTTCACTTCATCATTCAACACGAGCGCGATAATCTATTGACATTTTATTTTCGAACTAATCGATAGACGTCCTTTTACTCACCAAATCATCTAGACTGTGCGATTTATTCTTCCTCTGTAAACGAATCACCGGTTCCGCTATAACCTCCTCTGGTTGCTGTTTTATTTCTTCGTCTATCTCGTTCTCCATTCGGACCAAATCCGGCGGTTCAAGTCCGAATTTTACGCTCAAGCGCGCCATTTCCATAAGGGTCAAAATAACAGATTTTTCGTTCTTGTGAAGGACAAGGTCTTCCGTCTCAAACATTATCACATCCGATACTCCCAACTCTCGACACCAGCGAATAAAATTTGCCACGTTATCCCTGGCGATAAATGAACCGTGGAAACCTGTTCTCTCTTTGTACGTTACTCCGCAAGGAGGAAAGTTATTTCGAGGAATAAACGAGTGCCGGTGAAGGAATTCTTCTCCTGTGTTCTGGATCACGTTAGCTAGCCTACACAATACCACTCCTGTATCGAGATCTTCCATCAACGTCTCTACCGTTATCTCCGAGCCAGATATACGCGACATCCATGGAGCCAAATCCTCCTTCATCGCCAACATACATTTATCCAATAATTCTGTTTTATCCCTATTCCAATCCGCCATGTTTCTAGTCCAGCTGTAGTCCTTATTAAGCGAGGAATTACGTGAAAATGTTTTTTTTCCAATTGGTCCGTTCCTATTGGCTTTGAATGCTATTCGCCGGCAGCGTGGTAACTCGGTTGATGCATAGCGTCGAACTATAACAACCAGACTGATCCCTTCACGACTGTGTTTGGAAACGGCGTTCCAGACATAGAGATGGGTAATTTAAAGCGCGCGCACGCTATCTCAGTGACTGGATGTCAGCATCGTCTACCGCATATTCATAACAAACTCTAATCTCCGTCCGCTTTTGTTTACACTTCGCGTCTGATCGCTCCGGCTGAACTAGCATCAATAGTTAATGACACATGGCTTAGAATACCTTTCTTCCGAGGATATTAAAGCTTAGTGGTGCGATAAAAGTCTGTAGTGTTATTGCGGACCAGTTTTGTGCGTCCATTGCTTTTGATGTCTTTAGCGAGACGACAGCTGAGCGGGAAACACCAAACACCACACAAAAGTTTTGTGAACAAAACGGTGTTGCGCATTAAGTCCTCACGCTGCGCAAAATTCGTTCTTTAAATGATTTCCCTAGGGGTGGTCGCTTTATTGCGTGTTTGTTTGCTTGTTATTGCGTTCTTGGAAAGTGCTCTATCATATGGACAAATATAATTATTTATTGCTGACAAACAGATTTGAAGAGACTGTGACATCTCTAAGATTTGAAACAACAAAGTGACCGATCGGACCGGATCACGCTTGGTGTATTGAATTTCGAGTGAGTGCTTTGCTAATTGCCGGAAGTTACAATAGAGCTTGAATTTAGACCGTCTACTTCCGGCAGTTGCATGGCTTAAGCCCGGCGCACACTAGAGCTATCAGCTGAGCTGAGCGTCACTCGTGGCTGTTGGCGTAAGCTGTTTCCTCAAGTGTGCGGTGTCATGTTCTGCGATTTTTGTCACGCGTGCCATGAGCTCAGAATATTCAACATGTTGAATAATTTCGTGCACGAGTGAACATTGACTTACAGTGTGTGCGCGTTTTGAGCTATCAGCTCAGGAATCAATGCGAACGCGCATGCGTCCTTGCCGTGATAGATGCTGCGGGATGAGTGGATATTTCTCCTACAACTTGTAATCTCTTGGAAAGGCAATAGGTGGAAATTATTGCGTTGCGGAATGCTTGTGTCGTGGGTACTTTTCGAATTCTTTTGAAATGCCAAGAAATCATCAGGAATTCAGTCCGATTCATCAACAAAATATTAATTTCTAACGGAGTAGAGGTTTGTTTCTACGAACTTCTGGCAACAGAAGACGTGAAGTTCGCAGTTAATTTCGTCTGCGATATTGGTTAGTTTCATAATCTTTTAACAGAAAGTTGAGGCCCCTATTTTATGTTAACCTGAGTGTTTTCTTTTCTTTTTTTTTTCTTTGTTTTTTGTCTTTTTTTTGTCTCAGCTTCTGAAACCTATCATGTTTGTCTTTTTTCTTCTCGAAACTGAAAACCTGCTTGAAACTGAAAACCTTGAAACACATCTGTTCGGAAATAAGGATAACACACGCTGAATCTAGCAGGATAATCCTAAACAATATTGCCTTGCTCAAAATCGGTAGAAAACACCAGTTGGTGACGTGCTCCCAGGTGCGTTTGAAACTTTTACGAGAAAAAAGAACGATAAATCGTAATTATAGGGTTAAAAAAGAAGTGATAGTGAAAAAGTATGATTTCATTTTAAGATTTGACTGGGGCGCTTACATGATGTCATAGCCCAGAAAGGAAAAATGCGTTCGTGTTTGGACTTCCGTCAAATAAACTTTCGTCACGATCCGTATTTAAGGACCTAGCTTGTTAAAGAAAAGCAAGATTTCATCGTTAATGATCAATATTCGTTGGTGAATACAGTCCTGAAATATGGGCAACTCTATAATTAAGTGGTTGATCAGAGAGGTTGAAGAGGAACATACCATTAAAGCAACTTCGGAAGATGGAAGCTCTCACGAGGAAGTAAAGAATGGTATGTTTTACGTTCTATTCATACTAAAACATGACCATGATTTTTCACCAGCAGGATCCTAAAGGATTTTGGAGCCTGGCAATGTAAAACGACCGATCGCATTCTAATCATAATGAACTAAGTGATGTACGCATCCGGTCATGTATCAAGCCTCACATTTTTTTTTTCGATGAAATAAATTCGTTTCAGTTTTCGAGGCTACGTGAAATTATACAAAGGATGATTTGTCTAGTTCGGTGAGCCAAACATCTCGTATCGTTGAAGAATGATTACTGAAATAAATCTTGAATACGTATTTGTAACTATTTCACTGCAGGTTCGCCGGACAATCAAGGACAAGTATCTGTATTTCAAGCCTTTGATTCCATGACAGCTAATCCACAAATGGCAGATACGTATCTGAACTTTGCAAAAGCCAGAGACCATCAGAACGATCAAGTGTACGATGGAGTACGGAATCCATATGTTTTAGTAATAAACAACGTAAATTTCATCAGAGACCCAGTTCCAAGAAATGGAGCTAAATTCGACCTCAGAAAAGTGGAGAAATTTGCTAAAGAAGCTGGTTTCCAAGCTGTAAGGCAGCACGGGGACTTAACAAAACAGGAGATCGTAGACATCCTTGACGAAATCCGCAAAAACAGAGAATTGGGTAAGTTTCTCTACACTACCTCAAACAGGTTTTATGACAAGTCACCAAATGCCTAGTCTACCAACTCTCTGTATCCGTTGTTGAGTCTTGCTACGCAAAGCTCCTTCTTTCCAACCTAGGAAAAGATTACGCGTGATCAAAAGGGAATAAGACTACCGAATGAGGATATGGACCGAAAGTTCAGTTACTGTACTTAGAGCGCTTTTCGATCGCGTATCCTAACAACAAAACCAAATTAAGAACGAGGCAAATACAGAGAAAGGAAAATACCCTACAGAACGAACGTAAAACAAGCCAACCACCAAAAGCGCGGAAAATTGTCGGTGACCAAATCGTGATTGGTTATAGTTTTGCATCTGATCGGTTGAGAGAGTGGTACAAGTTTTCTGAACCACTCAGAGCGAATTTAAAGACTATTTTCAAATTTAGGGGAGGATCTGTCTATGTAATTAAACGACTCTTGAATATTTACCATTTATCTAATCATTTCTTTTTTTGCAGGTAAACATGACGCATTCATCTGCATTATCATGAGCCATGGTAATGAGACAGGAATCCTATGCAAGCACGGTGAAACCATTCCAGTAGACGAAATAACCGCTAAATTTCGTGGTGGCAAAGAGTCGTGTCCCCAGCTGGTGGGAAAACCCAAACTGTTCTTCATTCAAGCATGTCGCGGCAAAGTTGACGACAAAGGGTATTGGGTCACCAATGGGCAAGAATCAGACAATGTTGTTGCTGATAGCGACCAGAGCGAGGAGTTGCCTGTAAAACTTCCTTCTGAGGCAGATTTTTTGATCAGCTACTCGACCACCGCGGGCTGTATCTCTCACAGGAGGTTCACAGATTCTACGGTGAACGGAGAAAGACACAGCGAAAAATTGGGCTCTTGGTTCATCTCCTGCTTGGTGAAGGTTCTACAAGAAAATTCGCACGTTGACGACTTAATGACAATGCTGACTAAAGTGAATCAAGAAATGATCAAATATAGGACAGATGGTGGAAGCAAACAGATTCCATGCCATCTCACCATGCTCACGAGAAAAGTCTACTTTGCAAATTTCTTTGATAAGAACCGGCCTCAAACTTGCCCTTGAACCAGAGACATCTGAATAGTAATTACTTCTTTTAGTTGCGATAAACTTTCTAGTAAATGGACATGTTTTAACTAATAGCGTTGTCATATCAGCTCATCTATTGGCTGGGAGGACTTACATTTAGAAGTAGAACAAACTGCAAATAACCCCCACCCTCTCCCGCTCAGTAGCTAGAACTTCTCATCCAAAAATAACGCTTTTGTACTTGTTTTGAAAGGTGGTTCATGGAATAAAATAGTAAAATATTTTCCTCCGACATAGATAATACGTTGCCTATCCAGAGTAAGTAGTCCAAGCAGTTGCGATACTGATATTTTCATTTAACCAAGGGTAAATACTAAAACTGTAACTTGATAAGTTTGAATTTTACATGTACAGTTGTTAATAAAGGTTTACTGTCAACAGCACTTGAACAGAATAATTTGAGACATGGTTTGGTGCTACTCTGGTTTAAAGATTTATTGAATGTAACCAAAAAGTTACAATTCAGAGACCCAACCTTTACGACAATCCTGTCTACTGCCTTTATCAGGGGTGATCTAATCGCTGTAACAAGAGGTCCTTTTATACACTCACTAATTAGCTGCCCTTTTTTTCTAATGAGGTGCAAGATAATTTTGAATTACCAAGTGAATTTTGAATACCAAAGAGAATTTTGAATAGCTACAACGTTAAAGTTGCTCAAAAACCTTTTCAGACTTTAGGGTTTATTTTTTCCTAAACGTAAGGATCCTGTCACGAAGGAACAACGAACCGACGCTATTCATTTTATTCCGTACGATGACTGTGATCACGAGTATATCGGGCAGACCAAACGATAGTTTGGTACACGTTTGAAAGAGCGTCAAAAAGCTGTCTTCTTTTACAAAAAAGAAAATTCAGCATTGACTGAGCGCATGCTTAACTAACCATACAAATGGGTGGGATAAGCTAAAATTATCACCCCCTAATCGGCGTCACTACCAACGCTTTTTTCGGAAGCCTGGCGTATCATCTCCGCCCTCTTGATGATGACAGCTTACAACCTGAGGCCTATTTACACCTCGTCAGAAAAAAGGGCAGCTAATTAGTGGGCAAATAGAAGGACCTCTTGTTGCAGCGATTAGATCATCCCTGATGAAGGCACTAGACAGGA